CTGCTGCACCATCAACTGCTGCACCATCTACTGCCGCACCAACTGCCGCACCATCAAGTGCCGCACCATCAACTGCTGCAGGATAAACAGCCACAGCTGCCGTATAATAGTTACCTTAGTAACTATAAACAGTTGATTTGAAGGTTTATAAATTAAAAATAATATCAATTCAATAAATGATACTTTTTGCTCCATTGAAAGGAAAATTGTGAGCCTAATTAAGCACTAAAACTACTTTTTTTTAATTTAATACACCCAGAAGAGGTTATATCAATTTTGCCACTAAGTCGTCGAAGACCTTATAAAGTAAATGCGTGCTTGTATAAATGATCAGTGAAGAGCTGATTCGATTTGGCCATTGCCGTCTTTATATACTCGAAGTAGTTTCTTGGTTTTTATATCCTGAACAGGATATATTAAGTTTGTCACGATGTTTGTAACACCCAGAAGGAAGGGTCGGAGACCCTATAAAGTATATATTATATATCAAAGATCGTCTGTCTGTATATATACGTATATGATCGCAATCAAGTTTTTGTATGGAAAACTTTCACATTTGACAAGGTATATACACGAAATTTTTTATAGATTATTTTCTAAGGCAACAATGTAATCTCCGAAGAAATTGTTCAGATTGGATTATTATAGCATATAGCTTCCATACAAACTGACATAGTTACTTACAGAAATGCACCTGTGAAGAGTAACCGAATTTAACGTTTTTATACTCTCGCAACAAAGTTGCTAAAGAGAGTATTATAGTTTTGTTCACATAACGGTTGTTTGTAAGTCCTAAAACTAAAAGAGTTAGATATAGGGTTGTATATACCAAAATGATCAGGGTGACGAGTAGAGTTGTAATCCGAATGTCTGTCTGTCCGTCCGTCCGTGCAAGATGAAACTTGGTACACGTATTTCTAGGCTTCATAGGAAGGTTAAGCTCGAAGATGGGCAAAATCGGCCCACTGCCACGCCCATAAAATGGCGAAAACCGAAAACCTATAAAAAGTCATAACTAAGCCATAAATAAAGATATTAAAGTGAAATTTGGCACAAGGAATCGCATGAGGGAGTGGCATATTCGGACGTAATTTTTTTGGAAAAGTGGGCGTGGCCCCGCCCCCTACTAAGTTTTTTGACATATCTCGGAAACTACTATAGCTATGTCAACCAAACTGTATAGAGTCGTTTCTCTTAGGCTATGAAAATGCCAGTTCAAAAATGGAAGAAATCGGATAATAACCACGCCCACCTATAATACAAAGGTTTTACTGAAAATCACTAAATTTGCGTTAACCGACTAACGAAAAACGTCAGAAACACTAAATTTTACGGAAGAAATGGCAGAAGGAAGCTGCAATCAGGCTTTTTTAAAAAATTGAAAATGGGCATGGCGTCGCCCACTTATGGACTTCGGTACATAATATTTCCTTAACTCCCTGATGACATGTACGAAATATGGGTTAAATCGGTTCACAACCACGCCTTCTTTCAATATAACGTTGTTTTGAATTCCATCTGATGCCTTCTCTTTATAATATATACATTAGGAACCAATGATGATAGCGGAATAAAACTTTAAACAAATACGGTATTTGATGTGAGAGTATAAAATGTTCGGTGACACCCGAACTTAGCCCTTCCTTACTTGTTTCTTGTTAAATTTTGCTCACGTTTACTCATTAAGCAGCTGAATATTTGTCTGAACCACCACTTAAGGGACAACTGTAGCTTATAGCTGGCACAAAAATTAAATAATCAAATTCAACATTTGCACCTTCTGTTTATTCCTCCACGGCTATATCTTCATTTGCTGCACCATCGGCTGCATCTTTATATATCATACTACCGACTTCTGCTGCACCATCTACTACAAAACCAACTAGGAGCTACCGGTTTCGATGGCTGTCCGTAACTTTTTTGGAGATGCAATATTTTCGACTTCGGAATAACATAAGTTACTTCGAGATAACTAAATTTTTTTATTTTTTTCGTGCATGTTTCTTCTGGTAATGGGATTCAGCTAAGCCTTTATAAAATAAGAGAGCTCGATCTTATGCACAACTGTCTTCTCTTCGTATAATGGTGTGGTATAATCCACATTTTATGTGCATAAATTTTAAACACATTATGAATATTTGGAAGGAAATATAGAATATTGTGGGTAGTGGTAGTTCGGAGTCATGACCAAAAAGTAATGACAACTTAATAAATTCTTATTTTATGATTTAATAGTTTGAAGTTCCAATGAGAACCCTTTCCATCGACCGCAACCGATGGTATAAAGTCAGAAGGGACATGATTTGGGCAATAAAGCGGCTTAGGCAAAATATTTCTTACTAATGCTTTCCTAACGGTTTTTAAACGGTCTTGCTACTTGATGGAGAATTATTGCCTAGTGTCACCCGATTTCCACGTTTTAGTAACTTGCTTGAGTAACTTCTAAGGCTTCTTCGAGCTCCTTTTGTATTTGGAAACAATTCTTTCTTTGTCTTCCATATCGAAATCACCACTTTCGCTCAGCTAGGGCATGTTCATCGTAAACTTTCGCTTTCTTCCTTTTAAAGCAATGAAGAAAACCACCGTAAAATTTTGTTAGTTATAAAAAAAATTGGAAAGAAAACAATTATTGTTGTTTACGCTTTAAATGAGTTATATGTACATACATATGTACGAGTTATACATATTTCTTGTATAACAATGTGACTTTTAGGCACATCTGAGATCGACAAAGCGAATGCAATAATGAAAATACGCAAATAAATTATTTATTTGTTCAATAGTTTATTGTTGTGGCGATAGTTATTGTGAATAGAGAAACAAACAACTACTTGTATTTAAATTTGACAACGGTTAAATAAACACTTGCTTAAGACGTATTATTTGATTGCGTTAAAAGCGACTATGGCGTCTGCAGAGGTATAGTATCTTATGTAAGAACTATTTGTACCTTTCTTTTAGATTCTGTCATATAATGACGATGAATTTGTAGAATACTTCATTGAAAGTTGCGATTTTAAGCTCGTGTACCTGGTTACGTTCCGCAAGGCTGTTCAGCCTTTCCCTGCATTCCTGCACTAGTAGCGATTTGATCTCGCAGGAGGAGATAGATTTGACTGTAGCTTGCCTATCGCTAAGAATGGCTATTCGCTCATTACGATAGTTGCGATGGAGGTTTATTTCTATACATCGATTTATGGCAAAAACTTCTGCCTGGAAGATGCCCGGGAACTCTCCCATGGTTATGGAGAGCTTAGTGCGTGGGTCCGCGATCCCTGCACCGATTCTCTCCGACATTTTCGAGCCGTCGGTGTACCACCTAAACGTGCAATTCCTCAACATCAGCTCGGGATTGGAGTCGTTCCACTCGTCCTTACTGCCAAGGGTTACCTTAAACCTTTTCTTGAAGTTAATTGTTTTGGTAGTGCTGTCCTTCGGGAGGAGGACATATGGTATATTGCCACTTATCTTTTCCATTCTCTGGGACGAGACTATCTTGCCTTTGCCACACTCCTCTGCCGTTATTTGCTGAAGTGTGTGCTTGGCGACCTGACCGATAAACAAATGAAGCGGAGTAAGTTCTAGCAGAACCTCCAGTGCCGCCGTTGGACAAGTTAAAAGTTGTAAAACTATAATTTAACATAGTGGATCGCAGTAGCAAGGGGCATTTGTGGGCCAAATTTTTCAAAAAAAGTTAGCGTGGCCAAGTATACGTCTCCTAAACAACTAAAGCTAAAACAACCAAAATTGTGTAGCGCAAGTATTATAAGAACTTATATCGACTGTGTAAAAATGGATGAAACTAGATGATAACCTCGCTCACTGCCCATATCACGGCACTGTTAAAAATTACTTAAAGTTTGATGAATCAATAACTGAATACGCCCGGATATGGTAGGACTTTAATGGAATCGGGGTCAAAATTCGGAAGAAGGGCGTGGCACAGTACACTTTTATGTGAAAACATTCGCCCGACCGATTTCAACTAAATTCGGTATACGGATATTTCTATGTTACAGTGTTAAAATGAGGGAAATCGGACTAAAACCACGTCTACTTCCCATTAACACATCTTAAATCCCATTTGAAACTTAAACTTTCCAGCATACAAATGAAGAATGAATTAATAAATGAAGTTAAAACTTTCCTTGAATAGTGCATTTAATATGTGCCACCTTATGACTAAAAATTACTTAAAACGAACCACAACATAAATTTTTTTTTTCATAGAAATTTTTATTCTCCAATCTTTCACATATCATGAGGTATATCGTAGAGTGTATAAAGAAATTTTTTCAGAATTGTTTGATAACATCACTCGGAGAAATGGCTGGGTGAATGAGATGCGCTTTTTCACTGGCGGACAGGATGCTTCGATCATACAAAAACCCAATTTATTCTTAAAAAGTACGTCAATGGTTATCGTCCCTACTAGAATCATGAGAAATGTTGATAAATAAAAAAGTAAATAATGATTTTTTTTTTTAATTTTTCGCCATGTTTTTTTGCATCAATTTTGTCATAGCATTGTCAATAAATTAAAAAAGATATAGGGACCATAGCAGGCGTTTTGTGAACATTAAAAAAAATTAAGCAAATCGATTGAGTAGTTCGGCGGGAATCACGTCCGCCAGTTTAAAAAAATGTGTTTGGAGAAAAACGTTTGAGGTGTGCACGCCGAGCGCTCCGAACGTCGAGCGGTATTATTATCTTTGCACCTTTTTCGACACCTTCCAATGGTAAAGTGGGTTTCTACATTAACTCTTAGGGAATAGAAAATGCAAAAAAAAAAAAAAGAAACAAAAAGAAAATTTGAAAGAAGATTACCCTACGAACCTCTTAACATTGTTTCCGTATGGAAATATATTTTTTATAAGAATTTACTTATGCATAACCGGTTTGCACTAACATTTATGACGTTTTCGTATAAAAGCCGTTATATTTACTTTTAATATATGTGTGTATATGTTTAATATATATACATAATATATATTAACATATATATTATTAATTAACTGCTTATACATTTACTTTCTTTTACGCTATATCCACCACGATTTCGAAGAAAATAATTTAAGAGAGACAAGTGCATTTGGTAAACTATTTCCAACGAACTTCTGAGTTTTAACCACATGGCTCCACTTTCTGGAACTACTCTGTGGTACATGGATTATACATGGCTGCCTTATAACTGAATAATCAAAATCAAGTTCTTGTAAGGTATTTGTTTGTAACTAACTTCGTTGCAACCGAAGTGAATGTTTTCTAGTTCTGAAAGTATTCGACGCAGTATCCACCGCGAGAAACAGAGGAAGAGGAAGACCTCTACTCCGTTAGAAAGACCAGGTGGAGAAGAACCTGACTTCACTTGGAATCTCCAATTGCAGCCAAACAACGCAAAGGAAGAATGACTGGCGCGGTGTTGTAAACTCGGCTATAACAGCGTAAGCGGTGGCTATGCCAATAAGGAAGAAGAAGAAAGTTAATAATCCAGAGGTACAGTAATGATGTGTGTGCACGCACACTTATGGTAAAGGTGAGGATGATATCTTCATCTTCGTTTGATCCAGTAACAAAGAAATATGGAAGCCTTTTTTGTTTGAAAAAAACTAGCGTTTTCTCAAAAATTCGACTTTGCTTCGATCTTATTACCATACGCGTTGCACTATTGAGCTCGGGATCGGCTTGTTAATGTTATACATATATGATATTATAATTTTAAGCAGCGTGCGTTGGAACAATAGGCAGAGTGATAAATAAACGTCAGATAGATAGAAGTGATACACTATTTCGACTGATATATTGTAAGCTGTTTGGCTGAGATTCTTCTGTTATTTTTGAATAATATTACGCACCAAATGGAGGGCCCTAAATGTTTCAAATCGCTTCAAAACGACGGAAGAAATCCTAAAACAATTTTTGGTAGGATTTTAAATTCTCTGTCGAGGGACAAACTCGCTTTAAAACACTTGTTTATTTTTATAAGAGTCGATTCACGATATTTCGAATAATACTGACATTCTAAATTTCGCCGTCATCAATCGTTAGATGGAAATCATTATTTGCTCTATCCTTAAAAAATTATGCACGTGCATAAATTGGGGGTAGCAGCTTTTACGGAATCAGCCGTTTACGCCATTTGGTTTTGAATCTACTACCTTAGCGGAATTGCGTATTTCAAAATGAAATTCACCAAAAGAAATTTGTGTTAGAAACGAAGTGATGTATATTTATGGAGCCGGAGATTAAACAAAAACACTTTGTAGTCAAATATCGCAGCTATCAGTTATATAGCATAGGCACTGTGTGCTAAACAGTATACGCAAGTGTTTTAAGAACGTACTTTTTAAGTGCAAATAAATGAGTTAAGTAAACATTAGGCCACAATATTGTGCGCCAATTTTACTTACTTATTTCGAATATAAATTAGCGAATTTTTGACTTGAGACAAAGTAGTTTTCGTGCCCTCAATCCGACAACACATATATTTGGATAAATGAGGTTCTTATCAGCGGCTTTTTTCTTATTCGGCTTGATAGCTGTCAGCAATGGTGAGTTGAGATTTAAAACTAAGTATATTTCTTTAGGAATATCTAAAAATGTGAGCTTTATGTTTATAATCTTTAGGCCATCGTTCGAAACACTCCAGGTCATTTGGAATTAATTTGAACAAACACCCAAAGCAGGAATATGCTACACGGGTGTACCTGCCAGGCAAGCCCTCATATGGTTCTGCACATTCACTATTGCCGAGTCCCTCGAAAACGCTGGAACAACTCCCTGAGGAAACCAATGACTATGCCGATATAATAAGCAATCCTGCGGAGGACAGTGACCTACTAGCAAACCAACCAAATCTGCCGTCAATATATAGCGAACCGTCCCCATGGAATTTTGACTATCCACGGAGACGACCATGGTATTGGCAAGGTTATCCTTATAGATGGAATGGAGGCAGGAGAGGAAAATCCAAATATCCATACGGAGGACGTAGACGTTCTCCATGCGATAAACATCGTTCTTCTAGAGATGCTGAAAAAACACCATGGGGCAAACATCACAAATCTAAGAGCCATAAACGGACACCATGTGATAAACATCACTCGTCTAAGAAAAGAAAACCATCGCCATGTGACAAGCCAACTCGACCACCAAAACATTCCAAACCTTGCCATAAATGTAAACCAACCAAGCCTCCTTGCTCTAGTAAACCAGTACCAAAAACAACTACTGTTGCACCAGAAGTGACCACGCAACCTCAAGAAAGTACTGAAGTGCCAGTAGTATCCACACAAGCTCCAGTAGAGTCAACTACTCAACCTAAAGTCGAAACTAGCACACCAGAACAGCCCAACACAAGCACCGAAGTGTCAGTAGAAACAACAGAAGCTTCGGTAGAGTCGACTGCTCAACCTGAGGAAGAAACTAG